ATCAATGTATCATTTAAATGAACTGTCTGAAATATAATCCTAAAATAAGTTTTGAAGCATTTTTTGAGCAGTAGCAACAAAAAACTGATTTTTAGGAAAAATCCTTAAAATTTTTAATTTTTCTCTGTGAACTAGCAATGTTTTTGTTTCTTTTCAAATGGGAAATCTTAATATACAAATATTTGAGGTTTCCTCTTTATATTAACATCAAAAAATACTCAATAATTTTACATGAAATTAGGATTCAGACCAAACAGTAATGTATTATTGTAACTAACAAGACAAATTAAATCATATCTCTACATCCACTTATGATATCAGAATAATCCAGGTATCAAAATGTAGCTTCTAAAGCCAGGAACCTGAAAATGTAATTAGGTAATTTTGACCAAATTTGACTTAATCTTCATTTCGATATGATGGGTCACAATAACATTAAAAAGTAATAGTATTAGATGTAGTACAGTTTCTCAAGGATCATACTTTTTTTTTTTACAGCTGGCTATAACAACCTGGAGGTGGCAGAGTATCTGTTGGAGCATGGGGCTGACGTCAATGCTCAGGACAAGGGAGGCCTTATTCCTCTTCACAATGCTGCTTCTTATGGGGTCAGTCCCAGCGACATAGTTTTCTTCTGTTGGTCCTGCTTTAAGGGGCTTTTAGTCGGTGCTTCTTTGGTTTTCATTCATAAACCCTTCAGAGTTTAAGTTGCAGTCTGCTGCCTCTCTTCCTCGCAGCATGTGGACATAGCCGCCCTGCTGATCAAGTACAACACGTGCGTGAATGCTACGGACAAATGGGCCTTCACGCCTCTCCACGAGGCAGCCCAGAAAGGCCGCACGCAGCTCTGCGCGCTGCTGCTGGCTCATGGTGCTGACCCCACTATGAAGAACCAGGAAGGCCAGACCGCTCTGGACCTGGCCACGGTAGGGGCTCCTAAAACTCAAGACCGATACTTTGATTTTAATATTCCCTCAGTGTATCAAACTGTTAGCTCTGCTGGGGGAAAATAGAATGTTTTATTATTTTTTTCTTTTCCCGGTCGTCGCTGCAGGCTGATGATATCCGAGCACTGCTGATGGACGCCATGCCACCAGACGCCTTACCCAGCTGCTTTAAGCCGCAGGCCACGGTGGTCAGCGCCTCCGTCATCTCCCCCGCCTCCACGCCATCCTGTCTGTCAGCTGCCAGCAGCATAGACAACCTGGCCGGGCCCCTCACTGAGCTGGTTGCTGCTGCTGCCTCCGCCTCCGGGACCTCCGGAGTGGCAGACGGAGCGACGGGCACCGACCGCAAGGAAGGAGAAAGTAGGTTGTCAGATTTTACAACACAGACCAGTAAAGGAAGTCATGGATAAATTTCAAATCTAACTTTTTATTTTATTTTTTATTTTTCCCCTGCAGTGGCTGTGCTTGACATGAACATCAGTCAGTTCCTGAAGAGCCTGGGCCTTGAGCACCTGAGGGATATCTTTGAGAGGGAGCAGGTCTGTAACGTGACATTAGAAACTACTCGTGTAATAAAATGCGCAATATTATTATTATTGTTTTTTTCATTTAATTAAAACAAAATAAAATTCAAACATAACAAACACAATGTCATTAAAATGAAAAGGAGCAGAAAGAAGAAAAAATTCTTATAACGTCTGCCCCCATTTAACAAGAATATATATATACAAACACCCCTACATTCATCTTGATGTATCTCAGTAATCCAGGTAAAAATCAAAAAGTCTCTTGGAGAAGAGACGAAACGTTTCATTAGAGAAGAACCCGTCCAGAAGACCTACACAATTTTTTTCTTTTTGACCCCTACATTCATATACATACAGTGGTTTGCAAAAGTATTCATACCCCTTGAACTTTTCCATATTTTGTCACATTACAACCACAAACATAAATATATT